AGGAGACGATCCTGGCTACGCCACTATATCGACTAAATAGATACATGCTTGGTGTATTAAAATCGGTAAAATTAAAGTGTTACTGATTGTCTTTTCACTAAAGTACAATTTGACATACACAAAGTTATAGAAAGTACACTTGAATAAGAAACTCCCAAATTCAAATCTTAATTTAGTTTGTTGAAATATAAAATTGTGATTTGTCCAACCAAGTGTTTGCATAGAAAGATCGCACTTTTCCTTGTATTTTATTTAGAAGACGAGAGTCTTTAATTTTACATGAGCTAATGAAAAAAAAAACACAAAGGGGTCGATGATATCATAGTAAGTCGGTTGTGTGAGTGCGTGGCCTATATATTGTGCACGTTCATAACTTTCTGCTATTTGTATCGTTTGCCTAATTCTGGCTTCAGCGTCATCCCCCAACCGTTAATATATTCATTCATTACCATAATTATAGAACAAATGTCAACGTTGCTTAAACCAAGCCTCAACCCCTCTTCCGCGTTGCATCCTAATCTGACACTAAACTACAAACTCTTACATAGTGTTTTTATGCGATAGAAACGTTTTTCTGTTTGTTGTTTTTCTTAGCAGATCATTTTGGGGTTTTACGGTGATTTTTATCAAATCGATGTTTAATTTTTATAAGTTTTGTTTTCTGCGATTGTGTTGTCCCTTTGCCCCCCCCCCCCCCCCCCCCCATTCCTGACGTAATTAGCGCAATTTCCATACTGACAATTGCGATTATTCGATGGATGCGTGTCCGCAGCTTTAAGTCGTATCTCCTCCTTAACGAAGCAATATTGAGGACTAGTTCCAAAGCAATTATGTTAAGCAAGTTATGAGGATGAACATAGGCCAAAATAATTCCGGGTTTCTTTCATGGATTTCCCAGAAAAGCCAAAAAACCTCGAAAAAATGCAGTTTTTGGCCCATATCTCGGCAACCAGACCACTTAGCGACTTGAAACATTTACCAATCGATTCCTGCCATAGTTTAGAACAATATTGCCGAAGACAGTTTTCATAACTATCCTTTCGTTCGGTCACAAAAAATTAAAAATTGTTATGGATAACATAAGATAATTGCGCTTAAATTGTCACTAGACTTTTATTAACTTGTTTTTTTCTATACACTCACTGGCAAATATCTATAGACCGGCAAAACCGCAAGCTGGCTCTTCATTAGCCCGTGAGTACGGAACTGTGTTTTAATATCTATGTGTATATGTATAAAATATTTGTAAAAATTGAATTGCCACCTTCTCAATTCATCTAGCTTCACAAACACATCACCACAGCCGCTTACCTATACAACCTTTTAAAGCGCGCGTACTAGTCCACAATAAGGTAGTACAAGCTTTATCATACAAATACACAATGATGATCAACTGTGTGATTTTTATATATGGGGTATGTTCAAACCATATATATATATATATATATATATATATATATATATATATATATATATATATATATACAGAGAGAGAGATATATAGATATAGATAAAGATATAGATAAATATTAATAACTTGGAACATGGAACAGAAACTTGCGCAGTCTCCGAAAACAACTTAAATAAAACAGCAGTCAAATTTGTATCCGTGGGGTAGCGTATGAGCCGCCCCCTCAATCCTGTCTACAGAACTAATATAAGCAAATACGTTTACTCTGTTCAGAAGTATTTGTTAGTTTTGTTCAATTACCTTTATCCAATACAATTATTGTAATAAGCCACAATGATCACTGAGTAGCAACATGGGGAAATGCAATTCTTATATTGGTATCGAGATTCAGGTAACAGGTTTCTCAAGAACCCTTGTAGATTGATTACGTTAATTTATTGAGAATTATTGCCCATAAGCCTGAACTATAAATAAAAACTAATTCGTAGACCCTTGAATCCCTTATAGTATTTGATAGTATGATTAAAGTGTACTTATTGATCATGTATTGGCTAAGTAGGAGATAGCGTGAGATGAATTGTAAACATAGTTTTTTCCACACATCTCTTCGGGGAGAGGGGGGGGGGTGCTTAGAGCCCTCCCCCTCCCCCCCAACGAACAAAATGGAATTTACATAGAAAACATATTCTTTTACCAGTGTCCCTCACCACCGGAAAATGTTGGTGTTCCCCCCCCCCCCCCCTCCCGGAGAAAAAAGTCTTGAGGAAAGACTGCTTGTAAACACACTGTTACAGCTATGTAGCCGAATAAAATAGCTCAAATCTGCAATCCAGAAACGTTCGAATTTTTAAAATAATCAATATGATACTGGTTCATTCGACTGTTTCTAGATCGCTCAACTAAAATACATATCCTGCATATATTGAGAGAATACAAAGGCTATAGATGCAAATCCAAAACGAAAAGCAGGCTGAAATCGGAGTCCATAGCCTCAATGGCGCATAACCAGTTAACACGTATACTTAATTGTGTTGGGAGGAATCCCTTCCAACACTAAAATTAAGAAAGAAGAAGAAGAAGAAATGTGGATAAGGCTGCAGGAAATATCCGTCATCTAACATAAAAATGACTTAAAGGTGCTTTAGAGGTTATACTGATATACAGAAAAGATCTATAATCTGTGTTATTGATGAAGTACTATTTTGTTGCTGTACCTGCAAAATAGTAATGGTAGATTCGTCGTGGTGAGAATTCCTTTGTCTTTTACGCCAATTTCGGCTATCAGAAGGTTCGCCCTGCTGAGGTGTGGCCACAATTAGAGCTTAAGAGCTGCCTTTACCAGAGCTAAGATTATCATGCTCGGTGCTCATGAACAGATTTACTTAGAGCTTAAGAGTAGTCATAAAGTTTTACTTAGAGCTTAAGAATAGTCATACAGGTTTACTTAGAGCTTAAGAGTAGACATAGAGTTTTACTTGGAGCTTAGGAGTATTCATACAAATTTACTTAGAGCTTAAGAATAGTCATACAGTTTTACTTAGAGCTTAAGAGTAGTCATAAAGTTTTACTTATAGCTTAAGAGTAGTCATACTTGGAGCTCAGATTCAGCCATTTTCTGAACTAAAATATAGTCATTTACATGGCGCAGGTGAAGCCTTTCTTGGGACTAAAGTGAATCAATTCTCACAGCTAAAGTTTGAGTATTTTAGACCCTAAGTGTAGCCATTATCAGAATTAAAGTGTAGCACTTCTCATAGATTAAGTGTAGCCACTCACACACATGTAGCTCATTTCACACAATTGTATGTCACTCAAACAGTTATTCTATTTACAGAGGGTAGCTCTTTCATATAGGCGTAACAAATTCACACCTTATTTAGCCCATTGGCACAATTGTAACCATTCACACCGATGTAACCCATTCACACCTTATGTAGCCCATTGACACAAATGTAGCCCATTGACACTCGTGTAAAGCCCGTTGACACAAATGTAGCCCTTTCACACCAGTGTAGCCCATTAACACAAATGTAGCCCATCGACACAAATAAAGACCGTGGCACAAGTGTAGCCCATTCACACCAATGTAACCCATTCACACTCATATAGCCCGTTGACACAAATTTACACCGATGTAGTCCATTCACACCAGTATAGCCCGTTGACACAAATTTAACCCATTCACACCAGTGTAGCCTACTGACACAGATAGAGCTGTTTCACGCAGCTGGTGCCCATTGTTTTATATTCTGCTTTCAAACTTTCTACAGCACGTAATTCTGAATAAATTGACTTTCTTGATACACAATGGATTTGTTCCTTTAGAACTTGGTTTGAAACACAATGAATGTATTACTTTGAAGCTTGGCTCGAATCACAATGTATTTGTTCCGTTGTAATTGTAGCTTGGCTTGAAACACAATAAATTTGTTACTTTGTAGATTGGCTTGAAACACAATAGATTTGTTCCTTAAGAACTTAGCTTGAAATTGAAGGATTTGTTCCTTGAAACTTGGCTATACTTAGGGGTCATCCATAAATGACGTCACACTTTTTTTGACGACTTTTACCTCCCCCCGCCCTCTCCCCTCCGTCACACATCGTCAAAAAAAGCCAGACCCCCCCTAAAATGACGTCACACCTCAGCCTACAACCCCCCCCCCCTCAAAATTGCTGTTGAATTTTTCTTAAAACATTGATATTTTTCCAAAATCTTGTCTGAACTCTGTCAAAATAGAGTATTTTGATCAATTCCTATTACAATTTATTAAAACAGTTTTCTCAAACACGAAATAACGGCTAAAATTCGTTTTCTAACATTGCTTATTTATACTACAAAAGTGTGACGTCGCACCATCTGAACAGCCCCCTCCCCCTCATCACACACCGTCACAAAATTACGGACCCCCCTCCCCCTACGAGTGTGTCGTCATTTATGGACGGCCCCTTACTTAAGTCTAATTACATATACATTAATGTAATAGATCCCCATTGTAGAGCTTAATATCCAAAGTCATAAGCTCAGACGTAAAAGAACACCCGTTTCCTGGGCGTTTCCTAGACGCACTTGCGCACTGGATGAACTAATTATTATTGCATAAAATTACCTGCTATTTATCAAACACATCTGTGGGGTTGTAGGGGGGTGAGGAAAATAGGTCGACTGTGTAGCGATATTTTGTTACCCCAATCTAACACACACACAGAGAAACTGAGTAAATACTTGTTACATAATGCCAAACGATTGCACGGAGACTGGGCTGTGACCTTGATTTGCATTGACATTGAGAATTATCGAATCATCAAGAATTGTTTCCTCTCTATTCGACATCAGCGAAAATGTCAATGCCTATAAACGAATGTAATCTTTCTAAATTAGAATTACTAATTAGCTTGGACTCGTGTGGAAGAATATATACCGTATCAAAGAAATCCTCTGAATAGATTTCTAGATCAACAGTTAATATAAACTATATAATTCTAACCTTGGGCGTAACCAGCTTTGATTTTTTTGGGGTGAGGGGCGGGGACGGCCGGAATAAATAATTAGGAGTCAGCACCTAACCCAGATGTTGGTATAAATATCCCAGAGATTGGTTAGTGCCACTTCATTCGATCTCAGAACGGCCATTGGGAGACATTTGTTCAGGTTAGATCTGATTTACGATACCTTACTTACATTTTGCCTATTTTATATATATATATATATATATATATATATATATATATATATATATATATATATATATATACATAAATGCATATATATATACAATATACATATATATACAGGTATACATATATATATATATATGTATGATATTTATATGTGGTATATACATATATATATATATATATATATATATATATATATAAATATATATATCTTTGTATATATATATCTTTGTGTATATATATATATATATATATATATATATACAAAGATATATATATATATATGTAACTAGGGTAAGTTACCAAAGACTGGATTCATACTATTGATAGAAACGCATCACGGTCTGATGCAACGATGTGGATTGATGGCGATCGCAAAGCCGCGGCGCAGTATGACAGGCTGATGTAACTAATGGTAATTATTACGATATACGAGGGGATGATGGGAAGGCGACGGGTAGAGAGAGACAGTTGAGAAGGGAAAGCCGAACTGTAGAGACGTGTGGAGTAGGAGTAGAGTATCAAGTTGGTTACTGAACGGGTTAGCCGTATATTGTGTTAAGAAGGACAATAGACATGTGTATTCAGTTATATGAAGCCTAGTGAGGACTGTTGGGGGTCAGTTGATTCAGACTGTTATTTTGAAACATCTCTCTTGATTCATTATATTATTGTGAAGCATTCTTTGATTCATGTAATAAAAGGATCAATAATGAACCTGCATCTTCGAGTATCTATGCTGTGGTCAATGTTGTGTGGAATGAGTGGTTAGACTCGTTACATTTGGCGCTGCGAGCAGGGTGAATTCAATTAGACTTGCCGCTTTAGCCAGGGAAGGTCACATTTGGCGTTGTCGGCAGGATAGACTCGGGGAAGGTCACATTTGGCGCTGCGAGCGGGATGAATTGAACGAGACCAGCCGCTTGAGGCACCCATAGTCAACCTAGTTCATAACTGTGTTTAGTGTGTGTGTGAATTCGGACATTCAGGAACAGTGAAAATTGAGGAACGAGGAAAATTTTTTCATACACACACGGTAAGAAAGAACTCTTTTTTTTTACTTACGGAATAAAATGTCTACTCTGGACGAGAAGCAGACCCATATAGTGGTCCTACCCAGAGAGTCCCACATTAACAAATTTTACGGGGACGGTGATCCCACGTTAACCAACAGGTTCAGTGAAGAGGTCAAAGCGGCCTGGGCCTCGAGAGGCATGTCACCAGAGGAAAGATTAAGACTGCTGATGGGCAGCATAGGAGAGACGGTTAGGGCAGAGGTCAAATGCCACGATAAAACCATCCAATCAGATCCAGATAAGGTGCTGGATCTGATTATGGAGACCTTTGGGGAGAGACGGTCGGGATCGCAACTGCTAGCAGGGTTCGTAGGCTTGAGGCAGAGATTGGCGGAGAGTGTGATGGAGTACTCACACCGGATGAATAGGGCCTTTGATTCGGTAAAGGTCAAAACACCGGACATTGATGTACGCCTACTGAGGGACCATTTCATTGAGGGGCTGGCAACCCCGATCCTAAGAAGAGAGTTGAAAGAGGAGGTCCACAAAGAACCGCAGTTGACCTTCCTTCAGGTCAGGAACTCAGCGATCCGCAGGTCCGAGGATGAGGACCAATCGAACTGTTCGGTGGACAAAGTCTCTGTGCCTGAACAGAGACAATCCCCACCCACAGGGGCCGACACGATGGAGACCATGATGGCTCAACTGTTGGCCCACCTAGATAAGGTTGACCAACGTTTGGAGAGGTTAGAAAGCAGGTCAACAGCTGAGAATCGGGAAAAGAACGGGACAAAACAGGGACGGGTTGGACGGCCGCGTCCGGCCAAGCCATCACTCCAATGGACGGCCGACGGTCGGCCAATTTGTTTGTCTTGTTCACAACCCGGACATATGGCACGGTACTGCCAGGGAAAAGGGTCGTCCTCTGTAAGGCAGGGCCAGGCTACAGAGGGGCGAGGGTATGGCCCAAGAAGCAAAATGATGGGAGTCTGTCCCGAAATGGTGATTACGATTGGGGACATCGCGGTGAAGGCAATTGTGGATACAGGCTCCCAGGTGACGACAATCACGGAAAATTTTTACACCAAATGGATGAAAGGAAAAGACCATAGGTTGAGGCCTGACACATGCATGCGCCTGACGGCAGCTAATGGACTAACCATTCCATACTGTGGTTATTTTCTGGCGGATGTCGTGGTGGCAGGACATAGGTTGAAGCAGGTTGGGGTGTTCGTGACGAAACACAACCTAGAGACAAATGTGTCAAATATACCTTGCCTGTTGGGCATGAATATTCTTGGCCAGTTGCCAGAATTTCTTACAAATATTGTCGGATCGACCACACCAGGTCGGGGATCCAAGTTGGCCAGGTTTGCCAAGACCAGAGGAAGGACAGCAGTCCCGGCAAACACGGTCAAGGCAATCACATTACAAATTGGTGATAGAAGCGTGAATGGTGATGTGATGATAGAACCATGTGGCGCCGCACTGAGGGCAGGCGTCGTGTTACTGCGGACATACACATCAGCGGAAAATGGACTAGTTCAAGGACTAGTGGCAAATGTTTTGGATGAGGAAATTTTTATACCGCCTAACACTCTGGTAGGAGTACCACAGAACGTCGAGGTACAAAGGTCGGCACAGTGCATCGAACTGAGCAATACCAGCAGTAATGAAGTAACAATTAGGTCGGTCAATGTGACGGCCGAGGTGAAGAAAGAAGATGGCCGATCATATACATTCCCGGAAACTGAGGACCCAAAACTAAATGAATTGCTGAATAAATACAGTGATATATTTGCCTCGTATGAGGGTGATTTGGGTTACACGGAAGTAATAAAACACCAGATAACCTTACTACAAGACAAACCGGTGGCGCAACCTTATCGAAGATTACCACCGAGTCACTACTCTGCGGTGAAAGCACACCTGAACGATCTACTAAAAAAGGGAATTATTACAACCAGCACTAGCCCGTATGCGGCACCGATAGTAGTGGTAAAAAAGAAGTCAGGGGAGATAAGACTGTGTTGTGATTACCGGAAATTGAACAATATCACAAGAAGGGATGCATTCCCCTTGCCTCGTATTGATGAATGTCTTGATGCGTTGGGGGGAGCAAGATTTTTTTCTACCTTGGATTTGGCTAGTGGCTACCACCAAGTGGCCATGCACCCCAACGATCAACATAAAACTGCATTTATTTCTCCATTGGGACTGTACGAGTGGACCCGTATGCCGTTTGGTCTAACTAATGCACCTGCTACATTCCAGCGAGTAATGCAGAGTGCTATGAGTGACTTTCTATTTCAAATAATGTTGGTGTACTTGGATGATATACTGGTTTACTCAAAAACTTGGGAGGACCATCTAGAAAGATTAGAACAAGTGTTTCTCCGTCTTAGGGAGATAGGAGTAAAGCTGAACCCAGACAAATGCTGCTTCGGTCTGAACTCGGTACATTTTTTGGGTTACGTGATTTCGTCGGATGGCATCGCCACTGACCCAGATAAAATTGCAGCTGTTAAAGAATGGAAACAGCCAACAACTACAGTAGAGGTCAGATCATTCTTGGGCTTTGCTTCCTATTATAGAAAATTTGTGCCTGGTTTTGCAAAAATTGCCGCACCATTGCATGACTTGGTAAACAAAATGACAAAGAAACACAGTAAGGAGAAAAAGAAAGGTAAAACACAACGGATAGGTGAATTATGGACTGAGGAATGCCTGAACTCGTTTAAGCTATTGAAAAAGGCTTTGACAGAGGCGCCGATATTAGGATACGCAGACTTTGACAAACCATTTCGGCTAGAAATTGACGCCAGCTCTAAAGGTCTGGGAGCTGTGCTATCACAACATCAAAAGCAAGGTTTCAGGGTTATTGCGTATGCCAGTCGAGCTCTGAAGGAATCAGAGAAGAACATGACAAATTACAGCGCCATGAAACTAGAACTTTTGACATTAAAATGGGCTGTGACGGAAAAATTCAGGGACTATCTATTAGGTGCTAAATGTGTGGTATACACTGACAATAACCCCCTCAGTCACCTAAAGACAGCAAAGTTGGGATCCATCGAACAGCGATGGGCAGCAGAATTGGCACTCTTTGACCTGGAGATAAAATTTCGCCCGGGGCGGTCTAATGGCAATGCGGACGCCTTATCAAGGAATCCTTACGAGAGACCGGGCGATGAGGAAGAAACGCTGACAGGAATATGTGAGGTCAGAGCGTCAACAGATATCCCTCACGGGGTGCAAGTGAGGCAGAACGGACAGACCGGGGTGGAGCACATTTCCACAGAGCCCGGACATATGGACATTGGTGATTTTAGTTGCCTTAATCACAAAGAGATAAGAGATGCCCAGAGAACGGATAGTGGCTTACAGCCGCCTTTGAAACACGTCCAGGAACAAAAATTCCCAGGAAGAAGGGAAAGAGAACAATTTGGTCGAGAAACAAAGAAAATACTGAGTCAGTGGGACCGTCTCAGTATAAAGGATGGTGTTCTCATGCGGAGAATTCATGACCAAATAGATGGGACAATACAACAGGTGGTGGTGCCTGGACAATTACGAGAAGAAGTGCTAAGGTTGGCACATGACAGGGCAGGACACCAGGGTCAGGACAGGACGCACAAAATATTACGACGGAGGTGTTACTGGCCCAATATGGAAATGGAGGTCAAACGCCATTGTGAGGTTTGTGTGAGGTGTCAGCATGCGAAAATGCCAGTTGTCAAAATGAGACAGCCATCGGGACACCTATTAGCGACAAAACCACTAGAGATTGTGGCTATGGACTTTACGTCGTTGGAGCAATCATCGGATGGGACGGAACATGTGTTGGTAATGACTGATGTTTTCACCAAATGGACTGTGGCGGTGCCCACACGAGATCAGACTGCCAAAACAGTGGCAAAGGTCTTAATAGAACATTGGTTCATCAAATATGGCATACCAAGACAATTACACTCTGACCAAGGAAGGGCCTTCGAGTCAGAAGTAATTAACCAACTGTGCAGCCACTACGGGATCAACAAATCTAGAACAACCACATTTAATCCGAAAGGAAACGGACAGTGCGAGCGGTTCAACCGCAGCATGCATGATTTGCTGCGTACGCTAGAACTTGAACAGAAAAAACGTTGGCCTGATTTTCTCCCAGAGTTGGTATATCTATACAACTGCACACCCCATGCCACAACCGGCTTTTCGCCATACATGTTGCTGTTCGGACGGGAGGCTCGACTCCCCCTTGACTTGTTCCTAGGAAAAAAGGAGAGTATGACTGGCTCATACACTGCACTGGAATATGTGAATGAACATATGAGACGAATTAGAGAAATGTACAGGGTAGTACAGGAAAGACTAGAACATGAAGCACGGCGAAGGGAACCGCCGGTACAGACAAAGGACCCGCCACTCAAACTGAACGACAGGGTATTACTGCGTAGCCACCCGTTAGGCAGAAACAAAATCCACGACCTCTGGGGACAGGAGATATGGCAAGTCGTGGAGATGCCTAAAGTAGCAGGTGGCCCCTTTAAGATAAGACCCATCGATCACACCAAACCGGATCGGTGGGCGAATATTGCTCAATTAAAGAAATATTGTCATAGTCAAGAAGAGCAGTTACACACAAAGAAACCTAAGACAATTAGGGAACCGGAAACTACAACGGAAATTCTCATACCCATCCCGGAACCATGTCACCATCAACAGCGCAACAGCGATACACAAGGGGAGGATACCGGCAACAAGGAGGATCCCGGTCCCTCCAAAAGCAGAGAGACAGTAGACCATCAGATAAGTGGTCCGCGGAGAAGTTTGAGAAACAGAAAGAATACGAAATTTTTTGTCAGCAACCATCAATTCTTTCATGGTCGCGCTGGTATGAGAACAGACTGTTCAAAAAGTCATAAAAGTGAACTGGTGAAGGCACCAGACGAAAAAAGGTGGATGTGAATTCTAGAACTGTTTTGTGTCTGAGGAAGATGTTACGAATGTGACGACATTGACAGTGAGTGGAACAATAATTTTTTTTTACGGCGGTGCTTTTGACATTGAAGGAGTGCACCTGTCAAGCGTTGTTTGTGGTTGAAAACACACAAAAAAAAGGCGGGGGTGGATGTAACTAGGGTAAGTTACCAAAGACTGGATTCATACTATTGATAGAAACGCATCACGGTCTGATGCAACGATGTGGATTGATGGCGATCGCAAAGCCGCGGCGCAGTATGACAGGCTGATGTAACTAATGGTAATTATTACGATATACGAGGGGATGATGGGAAGGCGACGGGTAGAGAGAGACAGTTGAGAAGGGAAAGCCGAACTGTAGAGACGTGTGGAGTAGGAGTAGAGTATCAAGTTGGTTACTGAACGGGTTAGCCGTATATTGTGTTAAGAAGGACAATAGACATGTGTATTCAGTTATATGAAGCCTAGTGAGGACTGTTGGGGGTCAGTTGATTCAGACTGTTATTTTGAAACATCTCTCTTGATTCATTATATTATTGTGAAGCATTCTTTGATTCATGTAATAAAAGGATCAATAATGAACCTGCATCTTCGAGTATCTATGCTGTGGTCAATGTTGTGTGGAATGAGTGGTTAGACTCGTTACATTTGGCGCTGCGAGCAGGGTGAATTCAATTAGACTTGCCGCTTTAGCCAGGGAAGGTCACATTTGGCGTTGTCGGCAGGATAGACTCGGGGAAGGTCACATATATATATATATTTATATTTATATTTATATTTATATTTATATTTATATTTATATTTATATTTATATTTATATTTATATATATATATATATATATATATATATATATATATATATATATATATATATATATATATGTATATATATATATATATATATATATATATATATATATATATATATAAATATATATATATATATCTGTAACCACGTGTGATCTGATTTATTACCCAACAGGTGACAAAATGAAGACCATTCTTATATTTCTTGCCACGTTTGCCGTGACACAAGCCACAACTGTCACGTTATCAGCTGGCGACGTGGCTGCCTTCCTTAAGGCCCACAACGAAGTGCGGGCCGGGCTTCAACTCCCACCCGTGGTGAGTTCATCAACTTTTCTACCTTGTTGCCTCAAAGCATGTCATCCATCTGGTGATCAATTCTACTGTCTCCATCTACTGATTCTATTAAAATGTGGTGGCGTTGCTAGGTCGGGTGTCACCTGGTGCGGCACCTAGAAATGAACGTTGGTGTCACCCCCCTTCCCCCACATTTAATATGTCAAAACTTTGCACGATTATTAATAGCAACAATGTTTATCTATAGTCGGTTATTAATACAGCTTGATGTAACATAGTTAGCAAGTTTACGTTATGATGCCATCACCCCTCCCCCCCTTGTCGGGATTTATCAATTTCGGCTCTTAAAAACAATTTAACTCAAATGAATAATTTATTTAAATGGAATGATCTTTTTTTTTCTCTATATAATTATATTTTGCTATTTTTGCCTTGGTGTCACCCCCTAAATGGTGTCACCCGGTGCCATCCGCACCCCCGCTCCGCCCTCGCTACGCCTATGATGTAGATCTATCATTCTATGTATTTTAGTAAACTACAATTAACCAAAGTCCCCTTTTTAGCGCAATTTCCATACGGACAATTGCTATTATTAATTCGTCATTTCTGGATGTATGAATGAATGAATGGATGGATGTGTGTCCGCAGCTTTAAGTCGTATCTCCTCCTCAACGAAGCAATATCGAGGACTAGTTCCAAAGCAAATATGTTAAGCAGGTTCCAAGGATGATTGTGGGCCAAAAAAATTCCCGGAATTCCTTCCTGGATTTCCCGGAAAAGCCAAAACACCTCAAACAAATGCAGTTTTTGGTCCATATCTCGGCAACCAGACCACTTAGCGACTTAAAACATTTACCAATCGATTCCTGCCATAATTTAGAACAATATTGCCGAAGAAAGTGTTCAAAAATATCCTTTCGTTCGGTCACAAAATAATATTTACTACTTTTTTTAGGCCAAGGAAGAATATTTAAACTGAGCATCGTGTAGGCCTAGGATGATATTTACTACTTTTTTAAACTGAGCATCGTGTAGGCCTACTCGTTAAAATAAAACTATTTCCGTTGATATAGGTTAATTATAGTTGTCTTTTTTTTTTTAGCGCAAAAAAATATCCTTTCGTTCGGTCACAAAAAATTAAAAATTGTTATGGATAACATAAAGAAAATTGCGCTTAAATTGTCACTAGACTTTTTATTAGCTTGCTTTAAAGAAAATTCTATTATCAAACACAGGTATAAAAATCCCCCCCCCCCCCCCCCAAAGTTGATGTCAAACGGACTGTCGTTTATCAGTCACACACTCTTGTTTACATGTGTTATTATAATTACCCTCACCAGGCATGGAACGACACACTTGCCGACTTCGCCACCGACTACACAGGCAAATGTGTGTTCAAGCACAGCCACGGCCCATACGGGGAAAACATGTTTACATCCGGACGTAAGTAGCCAGATCAGTTTGTTAAAATGTTGCCAAAAGTAAATTTTCAAAATATACCAACTTGCAAAACATTAATGAATTATTCTGCCATGTCTAAATACTAAACAAAATAAAGCTACAATATTATGTGTTTTTACGCAATAGAAAATATTTTTGTTAATATATTACACTTTCACTTTCTTACATTGATCAGTAACACTTTCTACTCGCCAGCCCTCAACACCAACGCCACTGAACTAGCCTACAAAAGCGCCGCTTCATGGAAGAGTGAGCTGGCCAATGTAGACTTCCCAGCCTGGAAATGTGTCAGTAGCTCACCAACCTGTGGCCACTACTCACAGGTAAGCATACACACCTACACATGGGCAAGATAGCTGAGAACTATTACACACCCACCTGTAAACAAATACACAAACCTACACCTGATCAAGGTAGCTGTGTTTAAATAACCGTTACACACACACGTGTAAACACACATTACACACCTACGCCTGAGCAAGATCACTGTGATCAAAGAACAGTTGCACATGCATGTAAATAGTTATACACATAGATCTATCTACACACGATCAAAGTAGTCGTGTTTAAATAGCCGACAAATCAACTTAGTTATGCTAAGATCACGTAAATATGTTTTCCAGCAAAAAAAACTTATCTTTTAGGGTTGAATTACTGAAGTTTTTAATTAGTAGATCAAGGTTTTGGTTATGTACAGGGGTACACTGGCCCGTCAGTCTCCCGGGGAAAATCCCGGCGAGCTTCAAGGAAAACGTCTCAGTGCCCCCCCCCCCCACACCTCCCAGGAACGGAGATGTATTAGTCCAATTTAGTGTTTTAATAGTTTTTTTTCAATTGTTTCTATTTACAATGTTCCCATTACTACACACACCAAATTGCAAAATGTAGGCCTAGATGGGGGAAAAGTTGCACAATGAAAATGTCAATCTGGTTTTGTGAAAAAGAAAGAGAAGGTGGGGAGGGGGGGGGGGTCGTAAAATTTCCCGGGACTCCTGTACATAATGTATTGCAAAATTCTAATACGTTATGTTTCATAATATATTTTTAGATGGTTTGGAAAGCAACCAATCAAATCGGCTGTGCTATCGCTCAATGTGGAGGCAAGGCCGGAGTGCTACCAAATTTAGTTATCTGTGAATATATTCCACGGTAAGTTCGCGTTGAAATATTTAGGTATCTGTGAATATATTCCACGGTAAGTTCGCGTTGAAATATTTAGGCATCTGTGAATATATTCCACGGTAAGTTCGCGTTGAAATATTTAGGTATCTGTGAATATATTCCACGGTAAGTTCGCGTTGAAATATTTAGGTATCTGTGAATATATTCCACGGTAAGTTCGCGTTGAAATATTTAGGTATCTGTGAATATATTCCACGGTAAGTTCGCGTTGAAATATTTAGGCATCTGTGAATATATTCCACGGTAAGTTCGCGTTGAAATATTTAGGCATCTGTGAATATATTCCACGGTAAGTTCGCGTTGAAATATTTAGGTATCTGTGATTATATTCCTCGGGAAGTTCCTGTTGCTATATTTAGGTACATGTAAATAAGGGAGTAGGATGGTACCCACTACCAATCATCCACCGCCCCCACCCCCTTCCTGATATTATCACCAAAATTAATCCATCCTCATGGCAATCTCTAACTGTGATGCTATAGATCGGGATTGAATTCGTTTATTCTTAACTTTCCCGGATTCACCGTCTCGTATTCGATACATTACCTATAAAAAGTGAGAAAGACGATATATTTTGTTTTCTGAAAGCTTATTTCATAAGAAGTTTCTCGAGTTCGAACACTCGGGCAGATGAGGCTCGTTAGCTGGGGAAAGCCACTCTTCTAGGAGTGACAACTCAATCAACGGCTGCCTTGTAGTTTGTTCTTGGTTGGACAATTCTATGGAAACAAATCCAAAAAGAAAAGCAGGCTGAAATTGGAGTCAATGGCCTCAATGGCGCATAACCAGTTTTTTTTTTTTTTCACGTATCCATAATTGAGTTGGAGGGGGATCCATTCCAGCACTAAAATTAAGAGCGAAGAAGAAAAACAAAAAATAAAAAGTTGAGGCTTCTTATTTCTTCTACGATATCACGTGGGAAATTGAATGACTGATTCTCGAGGTTGGGAGGGGAGGCGTAATAGGAAAAAAAAATTGGGTCAAAGATTGGCAACGATAATTGGCGTGATAATTACCTGGGATGAAAAAGCGTCCGGGGGTTAATGAGATGGAAGTAATTGATCAGGGGTAATGTCCCTTGTGTTTGCTATGTATACATTCTTGGGTGATTACATAGTAGTTACTCGCCCAGCGCTTGTTGGCGGCCGATATCAGACTTGTATAAATGATGTAATTTTTGTGTATAAAGATATAGAGATTAAGTCAAATTTACATCTCGACATTTTATCTGCATGCGTAACTAAAGGTTTTAAAAAATATTTTATGTATAACTGTTTTCCACATAGCCCAAATACTAGAAAGGTTTTGTTTTCTCATATAACAAAATATCAGACTGTATAACCACCTTGCTAGTTATTTGTGCTACATACATAAGTATAAACTTTCTATATAGAGCATGTTTCAATAGAAATTCTCGTGACTAATAACAAATGGTTTATATCCAAATAAAATTTATGTATAAGTTTAGGCAAACAATGATAATGATAAATAAAAATAATTTTTCTGATATTTATGTAACCTTTTATAACTTTTCTTTTACGAAACAAACATTTTTTGTAACATTCCTCAGTGGTAATTACATCGGCCAACAACCATACTAGTGCCTTGTCCTGGCATCAACAAGTGTAACAGTTTCCTGCAATAGGCTAAACCCTCCATGTCAATGTCTCTTGTTCTGTGATTGACCTACATGGCTATGAAGATATCTTCTATCTCTTTCTGCTGAAATTTTATTTTTGTATAAATAAATTAAACTATATTTATAGTAGAGATTAAAGCTATTTTTAACATTTGAAGGTGTTGATTATCATTACATTTGTTAACTTATTATTATTTGGAAAAAAATGCTTCTCTCTACCCTTTAACATCACCAAAACAAAATAGATTGCGTATACGTACATATACAAGCCTCCTCGGCCAGGCCCACCTGCCTCTGTGAAAAAACTATCTGTAAAGGAACATGACGTGTGTTTATTTAGCAGCATATACCAGGAATAGCCCGGGTTGGGAAATATATTACGTTTCCAATTAACCCTAATCAAAACTAACCAATACCAACCAAAATCAACACACAAACGCAAACACAAACTAAAACACAAACACAACCCAAAGCCTTTAAAAACACAAACATTAACAAAAACGCAAACACAAAAGCAAACATAACGCAAAACAATAACACAGAACATAAACACAAACTTAATTAAATTAATTATAAAAGCATAGTGCTCATAGAGTAGCCCGGGGCGCCGAATCGCACCATGCCGGGGCGTCGGCGGAACCACCTGAATGAACTTAGTAAATGACTATAACACCCAATCTTATTTATAGTCTATCACTCTGTTTGAAACGAAAGTAGTTGCCATAGCGCTGAATTGCATTGGAAGAAATTCCAAATTTCTTTTACAGTTACATTTAAGGAAAAAACGACAAAAAAAACCAATTGAAAAAATGACAATGTTAAATGTTAAAAGTTTTAAAATGATTTATTTTGGACTTCAAAAAGAGTCTTGAGAAAAATATTTTGTAATAAGAAATTCCAATGAGAAACGAAACTAATATTTTTAGTAGATTTAAAGTGTAAATCTATAACATGGAACGTGCACTGTAAGGCGCAAAAAATAACCGCTCGTTTCCATTGATCACATCTAATAAGGCTGTTGTCCACCGTGGTTGCCTCTGTAAATACATTATGTCAAAAATGTTAACAATAATTAAAAGTCTTGTTAGGTACTGTTACATACATACTGTTGTAAATACTGTAAATATGCCAAAATTATTAATACAAATTAAGAAGACTTGTTATCTGAAAGTTATATAGATACAGGGTATACTAATATCAACTTTAGAAGTTTTTGTTGACATATTATTGTTTAATACAAAAATTCAGGGGGAAAAAAATTAGCAAAGTAATCTTTTTTTTTGCTATTGATTCTCTAACATAAATTAAGCCAACAAAAAATTATAACCAGTCGGTGATGAATTTTACATAGGTTGATTTACAGATTATACAGTGATATATGCTGATCATGTTACATAACACATGTTATGAGTGTGTTATAAAACAAAGCTCTCGTTCATCATTGTCAGACACAAAAATCAGAAACAGTGAAGGATGTACTGCTAATGTAATGTGAATGGGATATCCACATGGGTCTACGACAAATTCCCGAAAGACACTTTCCCGAATGCCGTTTGCCCGAAGGCCGATTTCCCGAATGGACACTTGCCCGAATGTTAGTGAGAATAAAAAAGCACATGTAAGTAAAGGACGACTGACAACTTTTAAAATTAATTTTACTTTGTCAGCGTGAACTTTTTATTTGGGTTGTGTGTAAATTAATTATAAAACCAAAATTACAATTAATTAGTATTTTAAATAAGCGTGTAATCACATTGGTATTAAAATAAAATCTGGATCAATTTTGTTCGTAGAAATAATAATGATAATTATATTGTATAAACTTAAGGTTCTATTAGAAATGAGTATCGAAAAAAAATATGTACGTATTGCTATAATATAAGAAGCTAGTATTGAAATAATAATGTGTACGCATGGCTATATAAGAAGCTATTTTGAAATAAATGTGTAATTAAGCCCAGCGTTGTGCTAGTATTGAAAAAAAGTGTACCAATTGCCAAGTAAGGAACTAGTAATAAAATAAAATGTATAATTAAGAGTATATATAGAACTAGTAATGAAATTCATGTTAACTTATGGTCAAACGTGAAGCTATTCATGAAATAAGTTGTGAACTAATAGTTCAAAAATGGTCAAGTATTAAAACAAAATATGAACTCACGGTGGGTCATAGTTGCATGAAACCAGGTTGGGCATTTCTTCATTTTCCTCACACTGAGTGATGGCACAGCCAACTGATACTGAATCTCTCCACACCATCTACAAATCACACAATGATTTAATTAAAAATGGACTAGGATTAATTTTTTTATTACTACAATGTATTCTAGTATTTATAATTGAACAGAATATTTGATGAATAAAAAAAAATATCTCACTACTGATATGTAAGCTATTGACAACATCTCACCTGTGAATAATGACCACAGGTAGGTGAATCCTGAGCAATACATTCCCAGTCATCATCAACATATTCCAGTTCCTTTAACCAGGATGCAGCGCTTCTGTAGGCCAAATACGTGGCGTTGTCGTCCAAAGCTGCAACATGACAGGTTCGTTATTTGTCACAAAAGTCTTTAAAATTTCGACATTGACGGGGAAACTATGAGACGGGTCTACTAGTGTTTGGTTAATAAAGCATGGATCTATTTCTGGTAGAAAAATGATGGTAGGAATCTACCTCTGTTAGGTTAATTATGGTATGGGTTGATTAATGTTATGTAGGGATCTACCTATGTTGAATTTATTAATGTTATGTTAATTAATTATGGTATGGGTTTATTAATGTTATCTATAATGGTATGAGTTTATTAATATTAGGTTACGTATGTCATGGGTTTATCAATGTTAGGTCAAGTATGGCATAAATCTACTACTGATAGCGTTATGATGGTATGGGCCTACTAGTAATAGGTTAATGATATGGGTTTACTACTAATAAGTAAATAATGGTATGAGTCTTCTACTGATATGTTTATGACATTATGGGACTACTAGTGATAATTTAATGATAATATGGGTCTACTACAGGTGTTTATGATCATATGGGTCTACCTCTGATATGTTTTTGATTGTATGGGTCCACTTCTGATATGTTTATGAGGGTATGGGTCTACCACTGATATGTTTTTGATTATATATGTCAATTTATGATATGTTTATGATGTTATGGGTCCACTACTTGTATGTTTATGATGGTGTAAGTCCACTACTGATATGTTTATGATGTTATGGGTCTATTACTGTTATGTTTATGATGGTATGGGTCCACTACTGATATGTTTATGATGGTATGGGTCTATTATTAATAAGTTTATGATGATGATCTTACGTCCATTTTGGTATAAGTTCTCCCCGTATTGTTGATTGCTGTGTTCAAATTCACACCTGGATGTCCAGTCTTCTGCGAACTCGGCCAGTGTAGTGTCCCATACCTGGTGATAAAATATAATTAGGAAAGCAAAAACAGTCCGTAGCAAATGAATTGACCCCGGACCCTGCACCCCCCCCCCCCCCTTCTCTCTTCCCACAATATAAGGTACTTGCCTTTCATGACAAAAGGCTGATAGATGCTAGTTAAAATTATCACAAAAGGTGATAAATTCTTTTTTAATTTCCAAGAGAATAAAAAACCAAAAAAAACAAGCTTTATTCTAATGGAACCTAATCGTGTAGAATTTGAAAAATATCGACTTCAATTTTATGGGCCATCAACTAGTAGCTGTACTTTCCGTGCAGCCTGATCCTCTCTGAACCCGTAAAACCACCCTGGCTAATACGGGTGAAAAGAGGCCATGAACTAAAAGGGGTATCCAAGGCCCTCCGGCAGACATTTTGACCTGAAGCTGCGGCCTCCACGTGGCCACGGAAGGGTGCCCTACCCGGGTAGCTAACGGCAGCTAGGGATTTTTAGTCTGTGCATCCGTGCCGGCCGGCGTCCCCTGGCCGACACATGGATGCCAGTCCGGAGAGCCTGGTACGTCGGATTCCCAACTTTCTACAGCACGTAATTCTGAATAAATTGACTTTCTTGATACACAATGGATTTGTTCCTTTAGAACTTGGTTTGAAACACAATGAATGTATTACTTTGAAGCTTGGCTCGAATCACAATGTATTTGTTCCGTTGTAATTGTAGCTTGGCTTGAAACACAATAAATTTGTTACTTTGTAGATTGGCTTGAAACACAATAGATTTGTTCCTTAAGAACTTAGCTTGAAATTGAAGGATTTGTTCCTTGAAACTTGGCTATACTTAGGGGTCATCCATAAATGACGTCACACTTTTTTTGACGACTTTTACCTCCCCCCGCCCTCTCCCCTCCGTCACACATCGTCAAAAAAAGCCAGACCCCCCCTAAAATGACGTCACACCTCAGCCTACAACCCCCCCCCCCTCAAAATTGCTGTTGAATTTTTCTTAAAACATTGATATTTTTCCAAAATCTTGTCTGAACTCTGTCAAAATAGAGTATTTTGATCAATTCCTATTACAATTTATTAAAACAGTTTTCTCAAACACGAAATAACGGCTAAAATTCGTTTTCTAACATTGCTTATTTATACTACAAAAGTGTGACGTCGCACCATCTGAACAGCCCCCTCCCCCTCATCACACACCGTCACAAAATTACGGACCCCCCTCTAATTACATATACATTAATGTAATAGATCCCCATTGTAGAGCTTAATATCCAAAGTCATAAGCTCAGACGTAAAAGAACACCCGTTTCCTGGGCGTTTCCTAGACGCACTTGCGCACTGGATGAACTAATTATTATTGCATAAAATTACCTGCTATTTATCAAACACATCTGTGGGGTTGTAGGGGGGTGAGGAAAATAGGTCGACTGTGTAGCGATATTTTGTTACCCCAATCTAACACACACACAGAGAAACTGAGTAAATACTTGTTACATAATGCCAAACGATTGCACGGAGACTGGGCTGTGACCTTGATTTGCATTGACATTGAGAATTATCGAATCATCAAGAATTGTTTCCTCTCTATTCGACATCAGCGAAAATGTCAATGCCTATAAACGAATGTAATCTTTCTAAATTAGAATTACTAATTAGCTTGGACTCGTGTGGAAGAATATATACCGTATCAAAGAAATCCTCTGAATAGATTTCTAGATCAACAGTTAATATAAACTATATAATTCTAACCTTGGGCGTAACCAGCTTTGATTTTTTTGGGGTGAGGGGCGGGGACGGCCGGAATAAATAATTAGGAGTCAGCACCTAACCCAGATGTTGGTATAAATATCCCAGAGATTGGTTAGTGCCACTTCATTCGATCTCAGAACGGCCATTGGGAGACATTTGTTCAGGTTAGATCTGATTTACGATACCTTACTTACATTTTGCCTATTTTATATATATATATATATATATATATATATATATATATATATATATATATATATATATATATATATATATACATAAATGCATATATATATACAATATACATATATATACAGGTATACATATATATATATATATGTATGATATTTATATGTGGTATATACATATATATATATATATATATATATATATAAATATATATATCTTTGTATATATATATCTTTGTGTATATATATATATATATATATATATATATACAAAGATATATATATATATATGTAACTAGGGTAAGTTACCAAAGACTGGATTCATACTATTGATAGAAACGCATCACGGTCTGATGCAACGATGTGGATTGATGGCGATCGCAAAGCCGCGGCGCAGTATGACAGGCTGATGTAACTAATGGTAATTATTACGATATACGAGGGGATGATGGGAAGGCGACGGGTAGAGAGAGACAGTTGAGAAGGGAAAGCCGAACTGTAGAGACGTGTGGAGTAGGAGTAGAGTATCAAGTTGGTTACTGAACGGGTTAGCCGTATATTGTGTTAAGAAGGACAATAGACATGTGTATTCAGTTATATGAAGCCTAGTGAGGACTGTTGGGGGTCAGTTGATTCAGACTGTTATTTTGAAACATCTCTCTTGATTCATTATATTATTGTGAAGCATTCTTTGATTCATGTAATAAAAGGATCAATAATGAACCTGCATCTTCGAGTATCTATGCTGTGGTCAATGTTGTGTGGAATGAGTGGTTAGACTCGTTACATTTGGCGCTGCGAGCAGGGTGAATTCAATTAGACTTGCCGCTTTAGCCAGGGAAGGTCACATTTGGCGTTGTCGGCAGGATAGACTCGGGGAAGGTCACATTTGGCGCTGCGAGCGGGATGAATTGAACGAGACCAGCCGCTTGAGGCACCCATAGTCAACCTAGTTCATAACTGTGTTTAGTGTGTGTGTGAATTCGGACATTCAGGAACAGTGAAAATTGAGGAACGAGGAAAATTTTTTCATACACACACGGTAAGAAAGAACTCTTTTTTTTTACTTACGGAATAAAATGTCTACTCTGGACGAGAAGCAGACCCATATAGTGGTCCTACCCAGAGAGTCCCACATTAACAAATTTTACGGGGACGGTGATCCCACGTTAACCAACAGGTTCAGTGAAGAGGTCAAAGCGGCCTGGGCCTCGAGAGGCATGTCACCAGAGGAAAGATTAAGACTGCTGATGGGCAGCATAGGAGAGACGGTTAGGGCAGAGGTCAAATGCCACGATAAAACCATCCAATCAGATCCAGATAAGGTGCTGGATCTGATTATGGAGACCTTTGGGGAGAGACGGTCGGGATCGCAACTGCTAGCAGGGTTCGTAGGCTTGAGGCAGAGATTGGCGGAGAGTGTGATGGAGTACTCACACCGGATGAATAGGGCCTTTAATTCGGTAAAGGTCAAAACACCGGACATTGATGTACGCCTACTGAGGGACCATTTCATTGAGGGGCTGGCAACCCCGATCCTAAGAAGAGAGTTGAAAGAGGAGGTCCACAAAGAACCGCAGTTGACCTTCCTTCAGGTCAGGAACTCAGCGATCCGCAGGTCCGAGGATGAGGACCAATCGAACTGTTCGGTGGACAAAGTCTCTGTGCCTGAACAGAGACAATCCCCACCCACAGGGGCCGACACGATGGAGACCATGATGGCTCAACTGTTGGCCCACCTAGATAAGGTTGACCAACGTTTGGAGAGGTTAGAAAGCAGGTCAACAGCTGAGAATCGGGAAAAGAACGGGACAAAACAGGGACGGGTTGGACGGCCGCGTCCGGCCAAGCCATCACTCCAATGGACGGCCGACGGTCGGCCAATTTGTTTGTCTTGTTCACAACCCGGACATATGGCACGGTACTGCCAGGGAAAAGGGTCGTCCTCTGTAAGGCAGGGCCAGGCTACAGAGGGGCGAGGGTATGGCCCAAGAAGCAAAATGATGGGAGTCTGTCCCGAAATGGTGATTACGATTGGGGACATCGCGGTGAAGGCAATTGTGGATACAGGCTCCCAGGTGACGACAATCACGGAAAATTTTTACACCAAATGGATGAAAGGAAAAGACCATAGGTTGAGGCCTGACACATGCATGCGCCTGACGGCAGCTAATGGACTAACCATTCCATACTGTGGTTATTTTCTGGCGGATGTCGTGGTGGCAGGACATAGGTTGAAGCAGGTTGGGGTGTTCGTGACGAAACACAACCTAGAGACAAATGTGTCAAATATACCTTGCCTGTTGGGCATGAATATTCTTGGCCAGTTGCCAGAATTTCTTACAAATATTGTCGGATCGACCACACCAGGTCGGGGATCCAAGTTGGCCAGGTTTGCCAAGACCAGAGGAAGGACAGCAGTCCCGGCAAACACGGTCAAGGCAATCACATTACAAATTGGTGATAGAAGCGTGAATGGTGATGTGATGATAGAACCATGTGGCGCCGCACTGAGGGCAGGCGTCGTGTTACTGCGGACATACACATCAGCGGAAAATGGACTAGTTCAAGGACTAGTGGCAAATGTTTTGGATGAGGAAATTTTTATACCGCCTAACACTCTGGTAGGAGTACCACAGAACGTCGAGGTACAAAGGTCGGCACAGTGCATCGAACTGAGCAATACCAGCAGTAATGAAGTAACAATTAGGTCGGTCAATGTGACGGCCGAGGTGAAGAAAGAAGATGGCCGATCATATACATTCCCGGAAACTGAGGACCCAAAACTAAATGAATTGCTGAATAAATACAGTGATATATTTGCCTCGTATGAGGGTGATTTGGGTTACACGGAAGTAATAAAACACCAGATAACCTTACTACAAGACAAACCGGTGGCGCAACCTTATCGAAGATTACCACCGAGTCACTACTCTGCGGTGAAAGCACACCTGAACGATCTACTAAAAAAGGGAATTATTACAACCAGCACTAGCCCGTATGCGGCACCGATAGTAGTGGTAAAAAAGAAGTCAGGGGAGATAAGACTGTGTTGTGATTACCGGAAATTGAACAATATCACAAGAAGGGATGCATTCCCCTTGCCTCGTATTGATGAATGTCTTGATGCGTTGGGGGGAGCAAGATTTTTTTCTACCTTGGATTTGGCTAGTGGCTACCACCAAGTGGCCATGCACCCCAACGATCAACATAAAACTGCATTTATTTCTCCATTGGGACTGTACGAGTGGACCCGTATGCCGTTTGGTCTAACTAATGCACCTGCTACATTCCAGCGAGTAATGCAGAGTGCTATGAGTGACTTTCTATTTCAAATAATGTTGGTGTACTTGGATGATATACTGGTTTACTCAAAAACTTGGGAGGACCATCTAGAAAGATTAGAACAAGTGTTTCTCCGTCTTAGGGAGATAGGAGTAAAGCTGAACCCAGACAAATGCTGCTTCGGTCTG